CCAATGTAAGGCTGTGGACAGAGTGTTGGAATAGAGCTCAGGAGACCTGGGTTCAAATCCCTACTCTGGGTATAAATCCCTACCATAAAAACTCATTAGGGAGTGGCAGTCTTGAACATCTTGAATACCTCAAAATCTGAAAAAAAAACCCTCAAAAAAAATCTGCTTGATGGCATACAACAACAAATTCCAGTTGTTCTTCCCAAGAACTACAGATCAATGGAACTTAGATCACTATAGTCAGTCTCATCAGAGCCAATAACTGGATTTCACCTTAACGTTCCATATAACAGATGAATAAATCAAGCATAGGGATAGAAAAGCAGTGCACTGGATTTAACTATCTTGCTGAAAGTATTGTTTTTACACCACCTCCAGGAAGAAATACAGTGGGTGGGATCTCAACAGTTTGCACAATGGCAAGGTTTATGGGCATTTCAGAGAAAAACTATACAAAAAGTAATGCAGAGGTTTCAAATGAAAAGTGCTAAAACATGTTAAATTTAAACATACATATATGCTTCATTCAATGTGTAAGATGCATAAATGTGATAAAATGCATAAATAAGTGCATACATTGGCTAAATAAATGCATGCATTAGCGTGCAGGACTGGTAGTGCTGATTTTCAGACAGTTAAGAGTCCTATCCCATTGCAAGGGACCAGAGGCTTCTCCAGGATGAAAGGGACCCTGATAGAGCATTAGAACCTGAGGGAGGGGTTTTCTTTGCTACATTTAATTCATGATAAAAGGATGCAGCTGGTATCAGCCCTCATAACTTTATGCAACCAGATTTAAGCCAAAGTTTTCTTCTCCACTCGTTTGCCTGCTCCACCTGGTTCCAGAGACAGGGCCTTTCCCTTGCATTTCAGAACAGAAATTCATCAAGTGAGAACAGAGCCATAAGTAGGACAAAGCAACTGGATTCTGTCCCAAGGGATCAAAAACTGGAGGGTGCCAAAACCCAGAGGAGAATCTACGGAAGGTAGATTCGGGAAAAATTACCCTGTTTTCCAGCATTATTCACTTTTCTCTTTTTGGAAATAGAAATGTTGTCTTTCTTGGGATGCTCTTTTTTTTCTTGGCTGGGAGTCATGCCAAGAAGGGCCAAGAAGGTAGGAAATAGTACAATTTGCCTCAAGTGCCAAAATTTCTAGTTTTAGCTCCAAGTGCAAACATCTGCCTCCCCATTTATAAAATATACATGCTGGAGGCTTAATATGTGAAAGAAGGCAGATTGGCAAGGGACAGAAGTATCATTCAAAATGGAATGCAAAGAGGTGCATCACAAAAAGTAGATGTTTAAACGTGATCCTCTTCTGTCTCCATCCTAAATTTAAAATGTTAAATGTGGCACTCCAGCTTCTTAATATGAATGGACAGGATTGTATTGTAAAACTGCAGTAAGTCCTGTTGAATTCAAAGGCGGTTTACATTTGAGCAGACAGAACTACACTTCAAGGATTTTTCCCCTTAATAGCTCCATATTGATGAAGCATTTGAAGTTTTACTAGGCAGTGGCAGAAGTATGTGCTGGATACTGAATGATGCTTTTGCAGATCGCATTCAGATAAAGTGCGGTTGGAACTGCTCCAAATAACATCGACAGTGTTTGGAAGCATTGCTATTAAAGCAAGACGGAGATTTCACAAATTTGGGGAGGGGGTTTGTTTTTAATCTCGCTGCCAGCTCAGAAGGCTCTGGTAAATGTTTTCAGCATATCAGGTTTTATGTGCTCAATAGCAGGTGTTGTTTTTCTTCATAAGGATAGACATAGAGAGGTAGTATGTTTATCAGTAAAGCACCATTACTCTGCCAAAAAGCAAATCTTCCAAATGGCATAATCTATACTTAGGGCCAAAGTGCAAGCAACAAATCAATCACATTTTCACTTAGAAGATGCATTGATATAGAAGGCTTTAGTTGCACTTTCCTCAGGCTTTTGAGAATAAATTAAGAAGTGTTACTCAGATAGGAAGCAGAAGCCTGTCACCCAGCTCTTGAATTTTAACCCTGCTCTTTTTTTGATCCTGCAAAATTGCAACAGTTGGCAATGTACTATCTTGAGTGTTTACATAAAAGTTTGGGCTGCCACAACTTCCAGTTGGATGAGAGCATATGTGCAAATGTGCTCACACACATGCACGTCTATGCATGTACACACACTCACACACATACAGACACAGGTGAAACAAAAGAGAACATAGGCAGAGCATCTGAACTACACCTTGGGAACGTAGATTGTGTTGGATATTTATTGAGATCCACAGGAATATGGGAAACTGCCATGGTTAAATAATTGCACCACCTTCTTGTAGCTCAGCTTGCTTTTGCTATTATTGATAACTGATCCTAAGAAAATTCCTGCGGTTTATGGTGATCTAAATTCAGAAGCAGTTGTTGGAATATGGCTGTGGCTGTTTCACCTCATTCTGGATGATGCAGAGCCTCTTCTGAAAGCAGAATAGACATGGTTTGAAATTATCTGTGAAACTCATTGCAATTCTCTGTGACCTGCATCACAGCTAATGTTCATCCTCTACCTTCTCCTTGGCAAAAGCCACAGTGAGATAATCCCCAATGGACTGTGTTTTAAAACAGGTTTCTAATATGTTTTTAAAACAGGCCTCATTTTATTTAAAGGAAGATTAAAGACTATTTTAACTTTAACTTGAGATAGCAGGGTGGCACCTAAAGGTCATATATACACACACAGACACACGCACACACGCACACACACACACACACACACACACACACACACTTTTAAGAAATGCATATATTTAGGTGCCACCCTGCTATCTCAAGTTAAAATAGTCTTTTTATATATATAAAGACTATTTACTAGACTATTTAAAGACTTATATATAAAAGAAACAGGGCACACATACATCCATATTGTATTTTCCATTCACCAGTATGATCATGTGCTTTGCTACTGTGAAGGGCTGACCAGCAGAAACACCTCAAGGACACAATTACTCTTTTAATTGTGCAGTGTTAGGTTTTCTAAAATGGTGTACAGTCCGTATGGAGGCCACAGACTGCAGGCAAGCCTCCTGTCACCTCCTTCAGATTTGCTTCCATAGGCAAGGCTAATCCCTCAAACAAGATTGCTTCCTCCCCATTCCCACCAAACCATCTCCTAACATGTGTGCAGTAAGCAAACCCCCCTCCTGCTCATGTGGAAGTCTACATACATGCACATCCACGGATGTCTGGAATTAGCACCCAAAATTTGGGAGCAAGGCTAGTGAGCACACAGAATCAGGGGCAGTAAGTAAGTTCTCTCCCATTAAGATGCAGTGAAATTCAAGACTCGTGCATTGCTTTTCATATAGGCCATCAGCAGTACTGGGAAACTATTTTCAAATTTAATGTGAAATGAAATGTAAAAAGGAGTAAAAAGATGTACTGTTAATAAATATCTCAGTTCAGCACTGAATCATTGTAACTCTGTGCATGGCACACAGCAAGGTATTCAATGAGGCCACTTTTACAAGCAATTGATATTCTCTATAGCCTGTGCATAATATTGTCTGGAGAGTTAGATGCATGTTAACATTTCATTACTCCTGCCATTGATTTTTCCTACTTTCTTCGCAACAAAAATCAAGATGTGACCTCTTACTCCCCTGAATTATTTCCAGAGCACTTGGCATTATTGACCCCTTAATGAAAATTAATGATGGCTTCTTCTATTCCATCTTGCATGTAAAAACATTGGATGCATATTATATTCAAAACAAAACCTTAGTGCAATGAACTACATTCATTCAAACACACATCTAAAAAAATAAAAAGGAAGGCTTTTCTTGCCCTATCTTTTGTGCCATATTTTAATGGAAACATTCTCAATTTCCTCTCACTCATATTTGCTTGACCACCTTGATTTTATAATGTTGTTATTGCATTTTTCAACCAATACAATATATATTCTATTGTCTTTATGATGATGCTTCATTTTTAAAACCAAAACTTTAAATTTCAGATTCGAATCCTATAGTGTTACTGTTTTGTTTACATTTAAATGCTTCAGGAAAGGCAGAGTTTTTAAAATCTTAATCTCAACTATAATAATATATCATCTTGAAGCAAAAAAAAAAATCAAAATGAGTTTTGATTAAAAAAAATCCCAAACTCAGCTTTCTTTTTCCCACCTTAAAGTGACATGAAACACTTTGCTTGGTTTCTTTAGAATTTCCCCTGTTGCAAATGCACATCGGTTCTCAAAAAATCTTTACATGCCTTATGATGCAAAGCCATGTACACAAATAAGCATTAGGTAGTCGTTCTCAGATACTTTTCTTTTCTGTACAGTGTGGTAGTTTGACTACATGTGTGGTTCCCAGATACATGTATCCATGGTCACAACGCACCATTCCCTCAAATGTATTTCTCCCCCTCCATTTTGCTCAACAAGTCCTCTCATCTGTAAGAGATTTGGGGAGGGCAATTTTATCACAGTGTCCCCTAAACTGTTTTAGGCTAGAGAATGGGCTTCTGATTGTGAAAGATGTCCTCTCCTGGGCCTAAAACTGCTCAGGTTCAGCCCAAATCTCTGGGAAAATAGTTGCCTTTATCAACTAGAGGTCATAAGGGTTAAATTCAAGAAAAAGAGAGGTTTTGGTAGAAACAGTAGTTCATATGGTGTGACGTCAGAGTAGCTGATGTGGGCACCCTCCAAGTTGTATAGTGTATGTAGTTCAGGGGTTTTCTGGAAGTTACATACCCTTGGCCTAAACAGTGAAGAATGTGTTGTCTTTGCTGAAGCCATCTGTTCCGATAATGGGAAATGTAGCTTGTAAACCTGATACAGTAGGGCAGAAAGGGAAAAGGCGGCAAAAGTAAAGTCAAAGAAAACTGCTGAAGAGGAGATCAGTGTGCCTTTAGGGAAAAGAGGATATTAGCTAAACAAATACATAGAGGAACATCAAGTTCTGTCTACTTCCTTTCTTTTTTTTTTGTCCGTGTCTTCCCCTTCCCTTTATATTTTCAGATAACAAAGATTATGATGCATACCTGTCGTACACCAAAGTGGATCCCGACCAATGGAATCAGGAAACTGGGGAAGAAGAACGGTTTGCTCTTGAGATCTTACCGGATATGCTGGAAAAGCATTATGGGTACAAATTGTTCATTCCAGATAGAGATTTGATACCAACTGGAAGTAAGTTATAATTTTTTTAAAAAAAATTGCATGCAGGACAGTATTCTGCAATTTTATATAGTTATTTATTTAAAATATTGATACCCCCAACCTTGCTCCTTAAAAAAGAACTCAACGTGGCCTATACCAGTTGAAAACATTGTTTAAAGCTAAAAACAATTAATATACAAAGGTGGCATACATCATTAAAGTACAGTATTTAAAGCTAAAAACAATGAGTATAGAAAAGCAGCCTAAATCATTAAAAGGCAATATTTAAAGCTGCAAACATTCAGTATAGAAATATTTAAAAGGAACAAGATAATGCCACTCTGAGAAATGGAAAACACAAGCAATACTAAAAACACACACACAAAACAGTAATGTGTAACAATCCATCTACGTAAAAAATCATGTTCAGTCACTGCAGGAAAGGCTTGCTTGAAGAGAAAGGTCTTCATTTGCCTGTGGAAGGACATCAAAGTTGGGGCCAACCTAACCTCCTATGGGAGGGAGTTCTGAAGTCTGGGAGCAGCAACAGAGAAGGCCCTCTCCTATGTCCCTAACAAATGCACCTGCAAAGCAATATTAACATGAGAAGAACCCATCCTCTCTCTGTCAGTGTAGCAGTGTTTTAATAGTATTTCATGATATGGGTTCCTCCAGCAGGAATGGGTAACCACTGAAAGTCCAAGAGCCGTACCAGCCAGTTCCATTTACCCCACACACACACACACACACAGAGGATCCCAGTGGGCCATAGCCAGTGTCTATTACTGTATCCCCATTGCGCCTGGGGTGGGGGTAGGCCAGAAAGCATTTAGCCACCAATGGGCTGCAGTAAAGGCCTCAGCACATTTCATGGGTTCCATGGGCCACACAATCCCCATCCTTGTGCTAAGACTTAGTGGCAAAGTTGCTGGCTATAAATATGCAGTCCAAAGTTTACTATGTGAAGAATGATGTTAAACTGAAAGTAACATAGACAGTGGCTAAAATTCCTTTTGTTCAGCTATGCTGCATACATGGCTTACATGGCTTAGCTGTGCAAACAGGATTTCAGTCAGTGAATATTCATTGGTTACTAGTTGTTGTTAATCTGGTATATCAACAAAGGCTGGAATCCAATTGAACAATTATGCTTGTATCTGTCAGCATAAATTTCAGTGGCAAACTGCCATAAATTAAGAAGTCAGCATAGGCATTTGCAGTCACACACCAAATCAGGGGACTGACACACAACAGCAAATTCCTACTCTAATTTCATATCTAGTGGCATTACTGAGATTTAAGCCAATGCACTTTCAGAAGCAAGTGTAAGCAATAGGAATCTGGCCAATATATGAGATCCTTTTAAAAGTAATAAATTAAACGAATATTTACATTCATTTAGGACATGAAGACAAAAATTAAAAATAACTTGCTTGTAATTTCTGTACAGCGTTAGCATTTCAGTCATGTGTTTCAGCTGATTTTGAGCCTCTCTTTTGCTTTTGTAGCATATATAGAAGACGTTGCAAGATGTGTAGACCAAAGCAAGCGACTGATCATTGTCATGACTCCAAATTATGTGGTGAGAAGAGGCTGGAGTATCTTTGAACTGGAAACAAGACTTCGAAATATGTTAGTTACAGGAGAAATTAAAGTGATACTAATTGAATGCAGTGAACTCCGGGGGATTATGAACTACCAGGAGGTTGAGGCCCTGAAGCATACTATCAAGCTCCTAACTGTGATTAAATGGCATGGACCAAAATGCAACAAGTTAAATTCCAAATTCTGGAAACGTTTACAGTATGAAATGCCTTTTAAGAGGATAGAACCCATCACACATGAGCAGGTTTTAGATGTCAGTGAGCAGGGGCCCTTTGGGGAACTGCAGACGGTCTCAGCAATTTCCATGGCTGCTGCTACCTCCACTGCTCTTGCCACTGCCCATCCTGACCTGCGCTCCACCTTTCATAACACGTATCATTCCCAGATGCGCCAGAAACACTATTATCGAAGCTATGAATACGACGTACCTCCTACTGGCACCCTGCCTCTTACCTCAATAGGTAACCAGCATACCTACTGCAACATCCCTATGACACTTATTAATGGGCAGAGGCCACAGACAAAAACTAACAGGGAGCAGAATCCCGACGAGGCTCATACAAACAGTGCGATACTGCCACTATTACCACGGGAAACCAGTATATCCAGTGTCATTTGGTGACATACATGCAAGGGGGAATTCAGCCCCCTTGTGTAGAAGCTAAGTCTGCAGTCCGGTGCCTGGAACTACATCCTCGACTGCTGCTGTTAAACATGCATTACAATCTATGAAATATGAGGAAAAACAGGGTCTTGTACATATGTTTTTGCAAATTTCTTTGTAGCATCAGTCTTCCTGTTTTACCCATGTCTCTTGCCATTCACATTTTGACTTTGTTTTATATGTCACTGGGATTTGTATATTTGCATTTTTTAAAAAAAGAGAAGTGAAGAGACTGCTGTATAGATAGGAAAAATCTTTTTGCTTCATTAGTATAGTTTGCGTGTTGTTGGGTTTTGGGTTTTTTTAAACATTTCTTGGGAATGCTTGGACAAAGCTCTGTTGAACCCAGAAGCACTATCTGTTTTGTTGGCCTGTCTAGCCTGAACCCCAGAGGCCATGCTTGCAACAATTCACAAATGTGTGTGTGGGTGTGAGTGTGAGTGTGAACACTTGTTCTTAGGAGGATGCTACTGGTGATTCATAAACCTTTCTTCATTTATTATCCCTCTCTGTCCTCTTACCTTCAAGTTTTTACAGCACCAGACACTGAGTGAAATTACAGATGGTCTAATTGTCTAACATTTCACATAGTAAATAGTTGTGGAACCAACCAACCAGCCAACCAACCCCACCCCGACCCCAGTCTGTATCACCCGCTTCACATAATCACTATTACCACTATGGAGTACGTAGAAAGAAAAATAAGGGTTTCTCTATTTTATTTTATGAGTTGACTATATGCCTTTTATAGAGAGAGAACATGCTGATTCTTAATTCATCCACTTCTTGAGAAAGTGTTAGATGTGTTTGTGACTCTCCCCAGACCTTTTTTTTCTTTGGTTGAGATCATTGGGGTTTTTTTCCTTTTAAATTCTACAAATGAGATTATTTACATTTGTCAGGCAAGTAAGGCAATAGGCACTGATGTGCACTAAATCCCGCAGCGATTTATGGCAATGGCTTCCAAACCAAAGGAGAGCAGAAGGACAATATCTAATATGGTTCGTCATATTGTATTACAAAAAAAATATGCTGTCTTTTAAGAAATATGAGAATATTTGTGTGCAGCCGTTTTTGGAGTCCCCATGTATACTGAAGTTCAGTCAGCAACTTTTCTTTTCACTGATACATCCAGAATTTAGCATGTTTTATTATTCATTTTTATTTTTTTAAAGCTTGTAATAATAATTTAGAAGTTGTTTTGAATTCCAAGGTTGTTTAAAGGAGATCTCAGGAGGTTGCAAAAGTAAATACCAACAAACATCAATATTTTATATAAGATAAATATTTAAAATAGACCCAGAAATGTTGGAAACAATTAATGTTATTGAATAAAAATAAACTAGTTTTATTTTGAATGTATGATTTCATCTTTAACAAGTTGAAGAAAGAGCATGCAGCTTGGCTCCGGGAATTATTCTGTGCATAAACTCCAGAGCTGAATTGTGTCTATGTGGAATTCAGTGAGAGTTTGTCATAGACTTTAGCAAAGCGGATTTTTACTCCTCATTGAGCCAGTGTTAACACAATCATGATTAATATCCATATTTACACATACTGATGCAATAGCCAACTTTCATATGAACATCTGGGGGGCAACACTAGGATATTGCATTAGTACCACACTAGATAATCAGCAGCACATTTATAAATGTGTAAACGGATGCAGTGAAACACTGATGATGCTTAAATTACACCAGAAGAGAATGTAACCTTCTCTGTATTGTACTCAAAATGCAACAATTCACTTGCTGGAAACAATTGTTTAAAACTACCAACATTTTATTCAATTAGAGTTTCCCAGGCATGGTCACTGTCGTGGCTACTGTGTGTTTTGTTCTGTCATTGTGTGGAAGAAGGCTGTTTATAGTTTTACCTGGATAAGGCAGAATGCGGTTAAAGAATGTATAAACAGCAGTCTATGAATATTTGTAGACTTCAAGTGTGTATGATACTAGGCAGCCTCATATTGTAACTGGCGAGGAAATATCGGCAAACCATGTTCAAGGACTCCAGGATATACACTGACTTTTATTTGCCTAACAATATTTATCTCTCAGGTCCTTTTCTAATAATCTGTCATTTTGTTAATATGTGCTCCCCTACCCCTGATAAAAAATAAACCTGGACATGTGCCAAATAAATCACATCAAGCAAATAAAGCTGCCAAGATAGGTGGAATTTGAAAGCATCTTTGCACAGGTCATTCTTTGAAAATGTAAGATGGATATTGTTTGTTACAGACACCTGCCAATTACTGATAACATTTGATGGCCTTTGATGAGATTCCAAATCTCAGACCTTCCCGACTACAAGTACTCCACCTACCCCAAAAGTTAAATCAGTGCAGTGAACTATCCATTTTAATTTTAAAGCTGGGGAGTGGATTATGAAGTACTTGTAAAGCATTACAATTTGACCACAATCACAATGTAGGTGTTAGGTGGGCTGTGGGTTTTTTAAATATTGATTTTGTTTTGTTCTTTGAAGTCCCACCAGGAATACTTATTTCTTCTATTTTTAATGTAGATTTAAGCACTTTGAATAGCATGATTCAGGGATTGATGGATACTGTTTGATATTCACACTACTTAAAGAGAAGATTTTTCTTACAATGCTTTGTCATATTGTTGAATAAAAACAAACAAGAAAGAAATTGAGTGTGTGAAAGAGCTTGTCCACAAAAAACATTTGGACAAGGCCGTTTCTGGCTTTAGAAACATTCCGCCCAAGGACACCTCTTCAAAAAACAGCTCTGTGTGAGAAAAAAAATAAAGGAACTGTCATTATGTTCACATACTCAATGTTCAACTAAAGTTCTGTTTGAACACAAAATAAAAAGAAAATATATATATATTTGCCCTAGTTCTTGGGCTCCATCCTTATTTATAGGGAAAGGAGGTGGGAGGGAGAAACGTTATAATTTTTGTATGCAAAGTCAAGTGTACCTATAGAAATTCGTCAAGGTTATTAAAAAATGCATTCTTATGTAGGCTGGTGCTCTCATCACATACTAGTCTTGGTGAATGGAAACCTTCATTGCCTCTATATACCTTTGCAATTAAAGCAAGGAAGTGCCTCTGTACTCATATCCTGCTTGGTGGCTTCTGGATAGCCACTTTGAGAACAGAATGCTGTTCTAGTTAGACCTTCCGTCTGATCCAGATGATCTCTTCAGGCCCTCTTGTTTTGAATCCAATGCAAAGTTTAGTATGCTTAACACTCTTTCTACAACCTTTGCTCAGTTTGTACAGTCTAATCAATGGATGGATGGATGGATAGCTCAGCCAGAGCTCAGAAGCTCAATTCCACATTGTGCCTCCCTGGAGAGGAGCCAGACTGTGTAGCCTTCAGCAGGCTGCACAGCTCCAGAGCACCAGAGAATGGTAAAGGGAATAGTAAACCAGTCCTCCTGAGCACTTGCACCTAGAAAACCCTGGAAGCAGTTTCTGTAAGTCGGAATTGACTTGAGAGCATGTAGTTCGTTATTAGTAATCACTGGGCAAAGGTTTTCTAGATCAAAATCCATTGGTTCATGTGGATTTTCAGAGTAACTATTATAAAAGCAAAGTGTTCTGCTTAGATACTGCCCCATTGCACTTGAAGCACTCTCTGGGCAGTTTACAATTTAATTATTTAAGCTATACATTGCACACGCACACGTGACTTGAGAGCATGTAGTTCGTTATTAGTAATCACTGGGCAAAGGTTTTCTAGATCAAAATCCATTGGTTCATGTGGATTTTCAGAGTAACTATTATAAAAGCAAAGTGTTCTGCTTAGATACTGCCCCATTGCACTTGAAGCACTCTCTGGGCAGTTTACAATTTAATTATTTAAGCTATACATTGCGCACACACACGTGCACACGCGCACACACACGCACAGAGAGAAAGAGAGAGAGAGAGAGAGAGAGAGCTCAGTACTCATTTTACCAACCTCAGAAAGATGGAAGGCTGAGTGAACCTTGAGCCAGCTACCTGGGATTGGACCCCAGCTTGTGAGCACAGTTTGGGCTGCAGTACAGCAATTTAGCCACTGTGCGACGAGGCTATACTTATGGCTGCAGTACAGCAATTTAACCACTGTGCGATGAGGCTATACTTACAGACCATCCTTTATTATGGAACTAATATTCTTAAAAACCTGTGGACATTCTTCACCTGTTTTATTTTTCTAACTAGCAGCACCAAAGGTACCTAATATGATTAAATGCTTATTTCATGTTGCCATTTTCTGATAGAAGCCATCAGAAAGAGATCCAATATTTCCGCCCATACCAGTAAATAAAGAGGCAAGACACAGAAGATGGGTTAAACAACTTTATTGACTAATTAAATCCCCAAACTGAGATGGGGCTTAAAGTAGTGTACCACACCTAGGCACAGGAGCAGGTGGACAAACCAAGCCCCTCGGGTTCAGGTTGAGTGAGCCCCAACCAGCCCAAATTGGGGAGATAACCTCAGGCTTGTCTCCCTCCCAAGTCTCATGAACTGAGATTGGTCATTACCTGAGGCTTCCTCAAAAAGCTATCCCTGTTTGCATACCTGAAGCACACAATTCGTGGCACCCATTCAGGGGACCTAATTACCAAATGGGGACCTGTGAAGCTACTACATTTCATCTCCCCACACTATCCACCAGATTGTGATCTGTTTAAACAGAACACCACCCTTAATCTGCCCATCTGTTCCGTGAGAAACAGGATAGGCAAAACTCCCCTGGGCCCCTTTTGTTCACTACAGCAATCATGGAATCTGGGCCCAAAGTTCCTATCCAGCCCCTGAAGTTATCATCTGACTTACAGGGAAGGTGAGTGGGCTGCTCTGTTCCCAGCAAAGAGATCTACCTTGGGTAAGGTCTCACTATAAGAGCCCATTGCCTTCCCCCAATTTAGGATATCACAGCAACATGACTAGTCCTACCTTTTGGTCACTGCAGGAGATGAAAAAGCCCACTTCCTTTCAGCTGCATCGCAGCACTCATTTGGAGGCAACTTTGTGAAAGAAAAGAATTTGTACACAGTGAATTGTAACCAGTCTTGGAACTCAGCAGAGTTCTACTCATGCTAAAAGAAAATGCAAGAGCATGACTTTTCGAATTTATCTGCACCAGCACGGCTGTTGGGAAATGAGAAGGAGAGTAATGTTCCCTCTAATTTTCAGCCCCACTGGGTAGGGCTCCACCCCTCCATGTGCGACTCACTCCCCCCCCCATGTGCACAACTCTTTCAGCCCCACTGGGTGGGGCTCCACCCCTCCATGTGCGACACCCCCCATGTGCACAACTTCACCCTCCCCACACAGGGTCCTGTTGAGACTGAAAATCATCACTGTGGGTGCATGGAGGAGGAAGAAAACTACACAGTGGGGGGCAAAGGCCCCCACGCTAATGCAGTGATTCACCTTAGAGGGAACCTTGTGGCAGGGGGTGGGAATTACTACTTTATTTTTTCCCTCTAACTCCCAGTTTCCTCTGTAAACAGAAAGGTCCCTTCCCTCCATGTTTTATTTTTTAAACAATATTTAATTGGTTGAAACTTAAAAACAAAACAAAAAACACAAATGAGAAGGAATCACAACTAGAAGCATTCCAGCTCAAATAAAGAATAAATCTAAATATAGGCTTCTATAAAAGGCTTCCAGAATTTAAAAATATATCCATACATAATTGTTATCCATATGCCATGTGTTCATATGATAAAGGCATTGTTATATGCATAAAAGATCCTTTCCCTTCATAGAGAAGACTTTCTGATTCCAAACCACTTTCCTGAAAATTATACATTTGCTAGTATTTTGGCAGGATATTGTGCCATATTGATGTCTTCTTAGTTAAGAGCTTTCAAGACATTTGCTGGAGGTGTTTTAGTTGTTTGGGATTCTAGAATCTTTTGAAAAAGATACTAGTAAAAATCATATAGTTCTGTATGCACTGCTTACATTTTAACTCAGTTTGTGACAACCTGAGTTGTACAGCTAGTAGTCTAATAGTTTCTGGGGAGGGGAAGCCAAGGTCAGCTGCTCATATGTCTCTTGGCAAGGAAAAATGATCTAAGGCTATGCTAGTGGGTGCAAGTGCAAAAGACATAGCTATTTTTGTAGATGATCTGCAATGGAGAGTGGTTGCGGTGACCTGCATGTCTGAAGGAATGCTTGCCCGCACCCTACAGGACTAGTGCTTCCTTCCTTCGTACGTTCATCGCATCGTGCATCTAAACTGTTTTAGAGTATCTTAACATGGTTTAAATTGTTTCAGCATGTCTGAATCATTCTAGATTGTTTTAAGACAAGTTTACTGAGTGTGCCCTTTTTTGCTCCTGAGTACAGAAAATTAACTTGCTCACAAATTTTGCTTGTTAAGAGCAGTTGACAGCCTTCATGACTACAGCTAAAAGGCTTTAAACAGTACTGTAGTAGCTCACATACTACAGTGTTAATACGTTTAACAATATATATCAGATATATCCTCCACCCAAAGCCATGGACCAAAAAGTCACCATTGAGAAACTTGGATCAGGTGGACCCCATACTGTCCACTAAGTTTTGAAAACTCTTACTCATGTGGCAGGGAAAAGCTTCCACCTCAGAAATCTAAAGCCTGCTTGGCTACCTAGTACAAATCATGTAGTTCTCTGTACTGTGTCTCAAATATCATTCAAGATTTCCATTCCTCTGAATGAAAGATGCCTTTCAGATTTTGCTGGACTGAAGGTCACACCATCCTTTACCATTGTTCATGCAAGCCAAACTAGGCTTGATGAGAGTTGTAGTCTAACTGCATCTGGACATTCACATATTCCCCAGCTTTGCATTAATGCATACTGAGGTCAGCTTGTGAAACTGCAGAGTGAGCATGATATGAAATTTAGGGCTTCAAGTCTCCCAGCTACAGCATGACATGGTTCTCCTCCATATCAAGCCCATACTGTATGTGCTCACTTTGGCATCAGAAAGAAGTACAGATAATAGAATTTTCCTGAACTTTGTGAAGCAGATGTTAAATACTTTGTGAAATAATACTGTTTTCTCTTTTTTTTATTGTTATTATTATCATTACCATGTTGCTGAAACTTAACATATCAGGAGAAGCATGTAGAGCGAGTAATAGGTACAACTTTCTGTACTGCCTCTCTAGCTCAACTATATATTTATTCATTTCTAAGCTACCCTATATCAGTGATTGCAGGTTGCATGAAATATAATTGCCATAAAACAACCTAGAGTAATTCAAGCAACTTAAAATATTTTAAAATACATTAAATCTTTCTAAATGCAGAGACAATTAAAAAGAAAATATTTATTGAGGTTAATTATGTAGTTATTTAAGGAGATACGTAGCTCACCTCAAACCAACTATGCCCTTTTCTATATTAAAAGTGAAGGCACTCTAGATGGGTGAATAATATCTGCATCATAACGTGAAAAAGAAAATAAGGTGGTAGTCCTAAACAAGGATATGTCAGTGTGGCAAAACTAAGATGGGAATATTGCTGCGAAAAAGAAATCAAATCAAGGGGTCAGAGCTACCACTTGTCACTGTCTGTTTCTCTGCTTCTCTCCCTCTCTGTGTGTACGTAACTCTGCTGTTCCCATTTCCTCTGAAGGAGCACCCCCTCAGCAGAACTCAACCCTTGCTAATATGAATGAAAATTGCATCCAACCTCCACATTTTGTTTTTTAGATGGTATCGGCTTCTGCTCAAACATAAAAAAAGTGATAGTCTGTTTATCTTGGTTCTGTTGTATGTCTCAGAATCCAACATGCATTATTTTTCCACCCAGGAGTCATATCCAGTTGTGAGGCTCATTTTCTCCTTTCCGTGTGGGTGTTCCATGTATTTTGATATGTAATTTT